ACAGACAGACAGGCAGACAGACAGACAGACAGACAGGCAGACAGACAGACAGGCAGACAGACAGACAGACCTTTCTTAATACAGTTTGACATGATTTCTCCCTCAACATAAACCTGGGCTACAACTTATAGAGACGAGTGTGTTATCAGAGAGACTTAACTCGGCTCCATGTCTGCCTCGGCTGCTCTTCCTCATAATACTTGAATATAGACTTACGCTCGTTAACTCTTCCTCCATTAATACCTTCAGGAATTTGGTTTTTATATTTTTGTGTTTTATTTATATATATTCTGCCCCGAGAATTACCTAAACTTATTCATTATTTTACATACTAGTGGTGAATATATCTGATGACGTCACCATTGTTGTATTTTTTTTTTTTTACAAATTCCGATTTTTTTTGGGGGGGGAGGGGGCTATTCATGGAGTTCTTGATGTCATTGGTTGCATTAATATTTACACGTTGGGTCATATATCTATACGGGATAAGTCAGGTCAGGTTAGGTCAGGTCAGGTCAAGTCGTATCAGCTATTTATTGACCTACTTGGGTGGTAAAAAAATAGCAAATTAGAAAAAAAATACAAAATAAAATAAAATCTACCAAAGGGATTTACCATGTTAAAATACCTGCAAATAAATAGTACAAACATTAGGTCTAAATTTTGTGAACGAATATAATGATAGTTCTTCCTTTTTCTCCTCAGGATGGTAATAAAAATTTATGAGAGTCGTAAATTGTGCAAAAATCTGTGTGAGTGGGTGTGATGATGGCGTCTCGTGTGTTAATGTTCACTGTTATCTCCTACACTGGCCGCCTCTATGACACTCACTTGTAAACTTTATGGCTCTGCCCTCTGTTTTAGTGACCAACTTTCAAGCTATACCTAACCTGACCTAACCTAACCTGACCTGACCTGACCTGACCTGACCTGACCTGGCCTGACCCGGGGTTGTTATCGTACTCAAGGGGCTGTTATCGTACCCAAGGGGTTGTTATCGTACTCATGGGACTGTTATCGTACCCAAGGGGTTGTTATCGTACTCATGGAGTTGTTATCGTACACAAGGGGTTGTTATCGTACTCATGGGACTGTTATCGTACCCAAGGGGTTGTTATCGTACTCATGGGACTGTTATCGTACCCAAGGGGTTGTTATCGTACTCATGGGACTGTTATCGTACTCAAGGGATTGTTATCGTACTCATGGGGTTATTATCGTACTCAATGGGTTGTTATCGTACTCAAGGGATTGTTATCGTACTCACGGGGCAGTTATCGTACTCAAGGGGTTAATACGAAAACAAAATTGCATCGCTCCATCGTAAGAGAGTGAATGTTGACCTTTATATGTTTTTACTGTTCATTTTGAGTAATAATTTTGTGAAATATATTTTTTTCATTTGTCATTATAATTCTTTCTCTCTGGCGTAAGCTTTTATGTCATAATTTTAATTCCAAGTTAAATTTCTGATCCTTTTAATGTATTCAGTGTCAGTGAGCCAGGTATGGTCGACAACAGGTGATGAAATTAAATCAATCAGTCATTAATACCAGGTAATTGATGAGAGTCTGACAGTGGTGGTGACAGTTTCCCCTCGCCTGACACCACCTTCCACCACCTGCCTTGGGGGAATGTTGTCAGTCCTATAATTCTTATTTTATATACCGTTTTTGTTTCCCTCGTTGACAGGATTATTTCACTGTTCGATAGGTTAATTAAACAAGATTATTATTTCTTAGTAATAGTAACAGGATTATATTACAAATAAACAACGACAATTATAACAACAACAACAACAATAATAATAACAACAACAACAACGACAATAATAATAATAAGAAAATAACAAAAATAATATAATAATAATAATAATAATAATAATAATAATAATAATAATAATAATAATAATAATAATAATAATAATAATAATAATCACACATTTCGCTTGCCACTGTTCACTAATCAAACCTTTTTAATTCTAACCCAGAAAGAAAGTCTTGCCATGTTCAATATTGTCGAATTATACTCCACAATCATATTAAATCTCTCGTAAAAAAATATATATTCTCTGTGGATGGACAGGTGGATGGACAGATGGACATTTAGACGGACAGGTGAATGGACGGTAAGTTAGATAGAGAGACAGGTGGATGGACAGATAGACATTTAGACAGACAGGTGAATGGACAGAAAAGTAGACAGAGGGATATAGACAGAAGACAAACAGACAGACAGACAAACAAACATAAATGGACAGAAAAGTAGACAGATGAACATAAGGAGAAAGACGGATTGAGATACTTATAGACAGACACTCATATAAACAAGAATACAAATAGACAGACAGACAGACAGGGGTTAATCTGACAGTCCCCTCTGGTTAAAGGTGAAGGCCAAAAGATACAGAGGGGGGGCTGGGAGGGGGGCAGGAGAGGAAAGGGGAGGAGTGGGCCCATATCTATCTATATCTATCTGCCTGCCTGCCACCTCTCTCTCTCCTCGTTTAATTGCTTCACCACCCTTCCTCTGTCACAACTAGGTCAGCCTGCACCGTCACTAGCCAAGCGCTGCACCATACAGCATCACAGGTGCCGTGTGTGACTCCCTGATTGCTGTCTTGGTGATTATTGTACACCTGTCTTTTTGCACCTGTTTATGTCTACCTGTGTATGTCTACCTGTATGTTTACCTGTACCTGTCTATGTCTACCTGCATCTGTACTTGTTTACCTGTGTCTGTGTCTACTTGTATGTTTACCTGTGTTTGTCTACCTGTACCTGTTTGTGTTCACCTGTGCTTGTTTACCTGTACCTGTGTTTGTTTACCTGTACCTGTGTTTGTTTACCTGTACCTGTGTTTGTTTACCTGTACCTGTGTTTGTTTACCTGTACCTGTGTTTGTCTACCTGTACCTGTGTTTGTTTACCTGTACCTGTGTGTGTTTACCTGTACCTGTGTTTGTTTACCTGTACCTGTGTTTGTTTACCTGTACCTGTGTTTGTTTACCTGTACCTGTGTTTGTTTACCTGTACCTGTGTTTGTCTACCTGTACCTGTGTTTGTTTACCTGTACCTGTGTGTGTTTACCTGTACCTGTGTTTGTTTACCTGTACCTGTGTTTGTTTACCTGTACCTGTGTTTGTTTACCTGTACCTGTGTCTCCACTTGTTTCTGTTTGCCTGTATGTTAGGGAGAAGGGAGAGGAGTAGGGAGAATTGAGTGAAAGGAGAAGGAGAGGTGTACGGAGAAGTAAGAAGAGAAGGGAGAGGGAGAAATGTTAGTGGAGGAGATGGAGAGGGTGAGAGTAAAGGAGAGAGAGAGAGGGAGAGGGGAAAGTGTGAGTGAAAGGAAACGAGAAAAGTGAGAGCAGAAGGGTGAGGGGAAAGATGGAAGAGAGAGAGAGAGAGAGAGAGAGAGAGAGAGAGAGAGAGAGAGAGAGAGAGAGAGAGAGAGAGAGAGTTCTTATCTCAGTAAATGACACTGGCAGCTTAAGGGGGAGACAGCTCAGTAATTGTCTGACCACAGCAGACTCAACACCGACTTCAACCGACTCATAACCACACCGTAACCGACTCATTACCAGACAACATCCGACTTAGGACAAACCACAGCCGAGAATCAGGACCCGCCACAGCCGACTTACAGCCTCCAATAGCCGACCCACCGCACCCGACTCACCGAATAACCCAAACCATCGCCGACTTATACCCGACCCAGACTTCTAACCACGTTGTCGGGAGTCACATAAAACTCATCCGATAATTGATTTTTTTTAATTAATTATCTTGTGACTTGGTTTAAATCCAATCCCTTATTACCCTCCCATGTGGTAAGGGTTAATGGGATAGGTCGATGTGGGATGGAATAGGAAAATATGATGGAAAGGAATAAAAAATGGGAAAGGAAGTAGCAGAGAAATAAAAAGAATTATATGGTCAGAAAATTACAAGAAATGTGGAATGGGAAGAAGTGAGGAAAATTTTAATGTACTGTATATAAGACAGACAGACAGATAGACAGACAGACAGACAGACAGACAGACAGATAGACAGACAGACAGACAGACAGACAGACAGACAGACAGACAGACAGACAGAGATAATAACGAATAACTTTAACATAATATTATTAAGTTTTAATTCACGTGGTGGGAAAACTTGAGGTTGAGGATAACGTTTTGTGGTGAATCTCTCTCTCTCTCTCTCTCTCTCTCTCTCTCTCTCTCTCTCTCTCTCTCTGATGAGCCCACACAACCTTGGGTATGTAGTATAAACACCAAGCCAATATTTGTAAACAGAAAAGTAGTGACAGCAGTTTCCTGACGAGAGAGAGAGAGAGAGAGAGAGAGAGAGAGAGAGAGAGAGAGAGAGAGAGAGAGAGAGAGAGAGAGAGAGAGAGCTGGATTAATTGTCCATTTATTGAGTCGATTTGTTTACAGAAGAACAATAATAAAAGTATAAAAATAGACATAAATATGCACTTATTTATTGTTTATATTAACGTTTAGTCGAGCACACGATACAGTACCGACCGCCTGTAATGGTTGCGTTGGATTAGGTCGTTTTTTAATAAGGTCGTTCATACTCTTAAGTCAAGTGTCCACTGTCTTATGAACTAATGTGTCCAGTCAAGGGGTAGGTTATGGATAGGGTGGGTGAATAGGTGAGCTTTTTCACATGTGATAGAGGTAACGCGTGTGTAGGTGTACCGTTAATTGATGCCACAGCTAAATAATAATAATATGATGATGATGATGATGATGATGACTGATGATGAAGGTGAATGTTATGTTTGTATTTATAAAGCAGGAAGGTAAGGATGGCATATAATAATTATGTTAGTTATAAGTACTAAGAATAGAAGTGTCAGTGTTCTTAACTATGATAATTCTGTTTTTGTTAATGATCACAGGTATAACAGGTGATCACAGGAGCAGCGACACTCGTAGTACCGGACACGATAATAAATGTCATCTCTCTCTGCCTCTTCCCTCAGGAGTGGCTGCTCGCCTGTCATGGGCGAGACCCCGCCGGGATATATGGAGCGGGGCGACTACCTGGAGGAGGTCATCGAGACAGCCATGGACGGCAGCCTCTTCGCTGAAGATGGTTGTGCCGGTGTCTTCGGCCTGGAAGGAGGAGGGGGAGGTAGAGGGAGCCGTGGGGGAAGAAGAGAAGGAGTGGAAGAGGAAGGAGGACTTGGGTTAAATAAAATGGGTACGACGTACATCTTCCCGCCCAAGCCCCCACAGGACCTGCCGCCGAGACGACACAGGAACCCCACGCTGAAGGAGGCGTCTACCTTAAGCTCCCTCGCCATCACCGTGTCCTCAGGGTCAACAGAATCCAACGTGCAGCCCCTGACTAGTCCCAACCCTCACCGTAGCCCCGGCATCGTCTTAAGTGTAGATGAACCTAAGACAAATTCTCCAGGGGTCACGTTCTCGGACACGCCCTCCATCCTCCCTGAGAGCTCCAGGAATGGCCGGGCAGGTGAGGGTTGACCACTAGTGAACTTTTTATTTTTATTTCTCTCCTGATTCTCAAATGGTTCTTAAGTCAAAGCTCAGCTGGCGATGTTAGAACGAATATAATTTCAAACACCTTATTTGGCTTTAGTAAAATGGCAGCCAACATGACATCAATAACTCACTGAGACTCAACTATTACTAATATCTTCTCCATGTCTTCATTTACGTGACAATAATTGCTAATCTTTGGTCAATCCTGGACTCAGATTCTTATGGTTTCTCGAGATCAGTTTCACCTGAAGTGCAAATCTGAGAATTCTGTTAGCTAACTCTTAACCATCGACACAGTGTTGGCGGCTGAAATTAAACTGAAATTGCATTGAGATTCTATTGTGAATTCGTTCTCCTTTCACCAGTTACGAGCATAGATTCTAACTTAGAAATCTTTGAGAATCCAGCCTGGGAAATCTCATTTGTGTTGTAAATAGATGTAAGGTGGTGGGTGTGTTGCATAAACGGGTGTAAGGTGGTGGGTGTGTTGCATAAACGGGTGTAAGGTGGTGGGTGTGTTGTATAAACGGGTGTAAGGTGGTGGGTGTGTTGCATAAACGGGTGTAAGGTGGTGAGTGTGTTGCATAAACGGGTGTCAGGTGGTGGGTGTGTTGTATAAACAGGTGTAAGGTGCTGGGTGTGTTGTATAAACGGGTGTGGTGGGGTGTGTTGCATAAACGGTGTAAGGTGGTGGGTGTGTTGTATAAACGGGTGTAAGGTGGTGGGTGTGTTGTATAAACGGGTGTAAGGTGGTGGGCGTGTTGTATAAACGGGTTGTAAGGTGGTGGTGTGTTGTACAAACGGGTGTAAGGTGGTGGGTGTGTTGTATAAACGGGTGTAAGGTGGTGGGTGTATTATATAAACGGGTATGGTGTAAGGTGGTGGGTGTGTGTAAACGGGTGTAAGGTGGTGGGGTGTGTTGTATAAACGGTGTAAGGTGGTGTGTTGTATAAACGGGTTGTGGTGGTGGGTGTGTTGCATAAACAGGTGTAAGGTGGTGGGTGTGTTGTGTAAACGGGTGTAGGTGGTGGGTGTGTTGTATAAACGGGTGTAAGGTGGTGGGTGTGTTGTATAAACGGGTTGTAAGGTGGTGGGTGTGTTGCATAAACAGGTTGTAAGGTGGTGGGTGTGTTGTGTAAACAGGTGTAAGGGTGGTGGGTGTGTTGCATAAACGGGTGTAAGGTGGTGGGTGTGTTGCATAAACGGGTGAGGTGGTGGGTGTGTTGTATAAACAGGTGTAAGGTGGTGGGTGTGTTGTGTAAACAGGTGTAAGGTGGTGGGTGTGTTGTATAAACGGGTGTAAAGTGGTGGGTGTGTTGCATAAACGGGTGTAAGGTGGTGGGTGTGTTGTGTAAAACAGGTGTAAGGTGGTGGGTGTGTTGCTAAACGGGGTGTAAGGTGGTGGGTGTGTTTAAACGGTTTGTGTGGGTGTGTTGTGTAAAGGTGTGTGGTGGGTGTGTTGATAAACGGGTGTAAGGTGGTGGGTGTGTTGCATAAACGGGTGTAAGGTGGTGGGTGTGTTGTGTAAACGGGTGTAGAGTGGTGGGTGTGTTGTATAAACGGGTTGTAAGGTGGTGGGTGTGTTGTGTAAACAGGTGTAAGGTGGTGGGTGTGTTGTGTAAGCAGGTGTAAGGTGGTGGGTGTGTTGCATAAACGGGTGTAAGGTGGTGGGTGGGTTGCATAAACGGGTGTAAGGTGGTTGGTGTGTTGTGGGTGTAGGTGGTGGGTGTGTTGTGTAAACAGGTGTAAGGTGGTGGGTGTGTTGTATTACAGGTTGTAAGGTGGTGGGTGTGTTGTATAAACGGGTTTAAGGTGGTGGGTGTGTTGTACAAACGGGTGTAAGGTGGTGGGTGTGTTGTATAAACGGGTGTAGGTGGTGGGTGTATTATATAAACAGGTTGTAAGGTGGGGGGTGTATTATATAAACGGGATGTAAGTGGTGGGTGTATTATTTAAACGGGTTGTAAGGTGGTGGGTGTGTTGTATAAACGGGTGTAAGGTGGTGGGTGTGTTGTATAAACGGGTGTAAGTGTGGGTGTGTTGTAAACAGGGTGTAAGGTGGTGGGTGTGTTGTATAAACAGGTGTAAGGTGGTGGTGTGTTGTATAAACAGTGTAAGGTGGTGTGTGTGTTAAACGGGTGTAAGGTGGTGGTGTGTTGTATAACAGGTGTAAGGTGGTGGGTGTATTGCATAAGGGTTGTAAGGTGGTGGGTGTGTTGTATAAACGGGTGTAGGGTGGTGGGTGTGTTGCATAAACAGGTGTAAGTGGTGGGTGTGTTGTATAAACGGGTGTAAGGTGGTGGTGTGTTGTATAAACGGGTGTAAGTGGTGGGTGTGTTGTATAAACAGGTGTAGGTGGTGGGTGTGTTGTATAAACGGGTGAGTGGTGGGTGTATTATATAAACAGGTGTAAGGTGGTGGGTGTGTTGTATAAACGGGTGTAAGGTGGTGGTGTGTTGTATAAAACGGGTGTAAGGTGGTGTGGTATATGCAATATCCTTACCTTCAATCACTTAACCCAATTTCCTATTTCCATATTTCCTCATTCTTTTTTTCAAATTCGATTTTTTTTTTTTTTTTGAATTTCTCTAGTTTTTCGTTGTTCTTTTCAAGTTTTTCATAGTGGTGCGATGTTCTCTGCTTTGGTTAATACTGTATGCTGTCTTTCATTCCGGATTTGATAGTCAACTTACCTGTTTTTAATTAAGGTATTTAATTTTTCCTTGTGATAATTAGCTGTGGTAAACAAGCTGGTTTGACTTGTATGTTAATGATGGTAATATTACTTGGATTTGGGGTATAGGGGTTTTTAATGGGCTTATGAAAGTGTGTGTGTGTGTGTGTTCATTATGATAGTGACTATTGTATCCCAGGACGACTGAAGGTTATTAGATATCCCAGGACGATCGTCAACTATCATGTTACCTGGACGGCCATTGACTGTTATTCCCAGGACGGTCATAGAGTAGTGTTTCCAGGATGAACATAGACTATTATTCCGAGGACGGTCTTGACGGCTCGGATGTTTCCCATTTATTATTATTACTGTTACTCTCCTTTCCTCTCCCGACCCCACCAACACACAAGGCTCTCTCTCTCTCTCTCTCTCTCTCTCTCTCTCTCTCTCTCTCTCTCTCTCTCTCTCTCTCCTATATCGACTAGGACATAACATATATACAGTCAAAGAAAAACCATATAATTTTAAGTCTTTGTTTTCATTTGTCTAGAACTGACTTAAAAACATTAATTATTCTCCGTTTATGTTAACTATGTATAATATTTTTTTTTTTTAGTTTTAATATTTTTTTAGTATTATTCATCAGGTAAATCCTTCTTCTTCATGAAAATTTCCCCAAATCTCCCAATCTCCAAATCCCCCAAATCCTCAAATATTCCAATCCCCTAAATCCGCCAAAGTCACTTCAAATCTACTAAATCCCCAAATCCTCAAATATTCACTCCTAAATCCCCCAAATCCGCAAATCCTCCAAATCACAAATCCTCCAAATATTCCCAATCACCTAAATCCCCCCCAAAATCACTTCAAATCCTCAAAATCCCCAAATCCCCAAATCCTCAATATCCCATTCCCCTAATCTTTAATCCCCAAATCCTCAAATATCCACATCTCCCCATCCACTCAAATCCCCAAATCCTAAAAATCCCCAAATCTACCCAAATCCCCAAATCCTAAAATCCTCATTCATTGATACCGACACCAATCGAAGCAACATTGATTTACCCACTTGGGTGAAAAAAAAAAACTTAAAGATTTATTAAAACAACAACAACTCCCAGCTGGTTGATGAAATAAAATCATAACTCTGGACACTCACTAAAACTTACAATACTGAACTGGGCCAACTGTTACTGTAGGTAAATTCTTTGTTGCATTAAGTTCAAGTTTTTTTTGTTCTGGAATTTAATGTAATCTTTTTTTTTTCCGTAAATTTTTAAATATGTAAATTAAGTTAAATTATTTGAAGTTATTATGACCTATGTTTGTTTGTATCTATCTATCTATCTATCTATCTATCTATCTATCTATCTATCTATCTATCTATCTATCTATCTATCTAGCTAGCTAGCTATCTGTCTGTCTGTCTGTCTGTCTGTCTGTCTGTCTGTCTGGTTGCGCTGAGAACTGACGTAATCTTTCACGTCTGCGTGCATTAACGACTTCTGGTTGGTTTATCTAGGAGAAGAGAGAGAAATGAAGGGAAGAATGGAGGGAAGGATGGAGGAAGGGGGAGGGACGGAAGAGAGAGACAAAGGAGGGAAGGATGGGAGAGAGAGAGAGAGATAGTGTGTGTGTGTGTTTTCGTCAGACACAAAGGATCTGATCTTGACCTCCAAAAGCAAATATTCATTAAATGTCTCCTCTCTCTCTCTCTCTCTCTCTCTCTCTCTCTCTCTCTCTCTCTCTCTCTCTCTCTTAAATCCTTTCTTTCATTCTAGTCCTTTTCCCCCTCCTTCCTCGCTGTAATCTTTTCCTTCTCCCTTCTTTTTATTTCCCCATTCTCTCTCCTCTTTCCCTTCCTTTCCTTCTTCTCTTAATCTGTCTCGGTTCTTCTATCCAGGCCTCCTTCCTCCCTCCACCCCTCTCTCCTTCCATCTGGCCCATTGCCTCCCTCCCCTCCCTCCTCCTCCCTCCCTCCCTCCTCCTCCTCTTCTGCCTCCCTCCTCTCTTCCCTCCGGCTCCCTCCTCCGGCTCCCTCCCTCATTCAGTGTACCTATTCATGGGTCACACACTTGTTATACCACACTGGGCTCAGAAGAATCCCTCGTGTACCAATGTCAATCTATTTCTTCTCTTCCTTCTTCCTTCCTTCCTTCCTTCCTTCCTTCCTTCCCTCCCTCCTCCCTCCCTCCCTCCCTCCCCTCCCTCCCTCCCTCCTCCCTCCTCCTCCTCCCTCCCTCCCTCCCTCCCCTCCCTCCCTCTCTCCCTCCTTCCTCCCTCCTCCTCCCCAT